TCTGATGCTGGTGGCAATGCTGGCGGGGTGTTTTTTTGTCGGAGTGCATATCTCTGCGTGGTAGCGATTGTGGTTGTTGCTCTGTGCCTTAGAGCTGCAGCCCAGTGATGCATGACAAATAACAGGTCCAAGCTAATCTGATTTGGATTGGTCATACATATATATATATATATGTATATATATATATATATATATATATATATATATATAGTTAAATTCCAGTAGGCAGAACATATCTAAAACAGGTGGGGTTGGTGTGTGTGTTGGTGTGTGTGTTTGTGTATGTTTAACGGATACTCAGGAAGCGGACAGCTGTCTGGGAGGAGGTGAGAGAAGAAAGAGAGATGTTGTTTTCCATGATGCTACATTACCATGTAGAATTATGCACAGGTGAAGAGCTGGTTTGAATACTTATGCAGCAAAAATGAATATATTTGTATAAACACACTCATGCACAGTAGCTCACTCAGTGGAGTAAGGTTCACTTCTTCTAAATGGGGAAACAGCATGCAATGGCAACGAATGAGGCATGCCTGTGGGAAGCATGCGAGCTAGGGTTTGTCGCTATGTCTGATCGTGATCTTGTTTTTAAATGTGTGCGGTCCACACACATCTTGGTAACTCGTTTCTGCATGTGGGCTGGTATTTCCCTGCTCCTCACATTTCATGTTTTCAAGAGGGACTAGATGCAAAGTTGAACAAAAACGTCAAGGTAAGGAAAGCGTTGTCTAAAGGAAAATGTTTTCTGGACTTCAATATTAACAGATGCAAAAAGGTCTGGGATTTCGTTTAAAGCTGGAGAGCAAAGGGACAAGGAAACAAAGGTTTTGGGCGTCTTCTCTGAAACCCTTTCCCCTTCCCGTCACCGTATCACTTAGAACATCCCAAAGGACATTTGCTTGGCTCTGTAATAAATATCAAGATCACTCTTGGATTGTTTTTATATTAAATGCAATCTGCCAGAACCATGAGGAATAATTTCACATTTCTTCCTTTTGATTTTTCCCTCCACTTGATGCAGCCTCTTTTGTTTCCATCAGATATAGGGAATTTCAGCAATTGTTCTGCTAGAAAATTGAAAACTCTTTGCTTTATAAATCATTTGAATACTTGATTTACTGAAGCCATTTAAAGTTAAAGATAGAAGAAAAATGTCCAGAATGGTTAAACTGGAAAAGGATATAAAGAATAATGTAAATCAGTCACACAAACAGGATGATGGAGAAATCAGTGGATTATTTTTATGTCGGTGTGCAAACACAGCAGCTTGCATAACTGTTTCTATACTGTGCCTCATCCAATATCCTGTTCTCAAATAAACTCATGGGTTGATCAATGTTTATGTGACCATAAACAAAGTCCTGCCTCTAACATTGGTCAGATAAAACCTTTTTATATCCCTGCTAACAAACTGCCGTTGTAGTGGTTTATAAGGATTTTTCAAAGCGCTCTGAAAACGTGTACATACGACTCGTCATAAAGAACACTGTTTCCGACCTAAGCAGCATTCATCTCTTTTTGTACTTTGCTATATGAGCAAGAAACATTGAAATACATATTCAAATTAATGTGTTCGACTTTTACTATAGATATTAACACATTATATTATGAATACAGTGTGGCATAGCAGTTCCGTTTGGCTAAAGTGGCTAAAGTGTTCAGCCATTCAGGACACTTCAATTGTTTTTATTCCTTCTATCATTTCTTGATGTTTTTCTGGAGAATAAAAAGTAAGAATTCACAATTCACAACGGTCCAACATCTAAATGACAGCTGCCAAGCTGGTGCAAATCCCACAACCTTACTCTCAACAGACAAAGAAGAGACGAATATTGACTTTAGGGGGACCGAAACAAGCCACCACCATTCGTTTATCATTCCTAGCTTTCCTGTTGTGAGAGTTGAATGTACAAAGTTCCCAGGATTTTGACCTCTAGCGATAACACCACAGCTGTTGTCAAGAATCCCCGGCAGCACCGCCATCTTCTTTGGAGACTCGAGAGGCAGACCTCCCTACTCCAGCCATGAATGTCTTTTATCATGGCATCACTGAGAGCATCCTCACATACTACCTCACATTTCCTCTTTCAAGAACTGCAGTGGCGAAAAAGAGGCTGGAGACAATTGTGAGCAGAGAAGATCAGTGGTGTGCTGCTGTCATCTCTGGCTGACATCTACAGCCAGAGGTGCACCCATAGAGGAGACAGCATAATAAGTGGCCCGTCTCATCCCTCTCACAGTCTCTTCTCTCTCATGTCAGTAAAAGGAGGTATGAAGCATCCCCTGTGAAGCAATACATCCAAACAAGACAGACTGATGCACATTTGCTGCTTTGTCTGGACATTGCAACTATCGTTTTTAATCTTTAAGTTATTCAGTTATCTTTATTTCCAGTTATTATTTCAGTTATCTTTTATTCCATTACAATACAAAATACAGGAATCTAGACAATGTGGTTCCCACTGTTTGGTTGAACATTCATGCAACACTGATTAGCCTAGAGATTAAAACTGCCTTTATACCACTGGTGCAGATTTGGTCCTTATAGAGGAAGGATTTGGTATCTTTTGTATTTTTCTTTACTAACTTTGGGTATTGTGGGTTGCAGTGTGAATCAGCTTTACTTCAGTCATCCTGTAGATACTCTGTCAGATTGGATTTGGGTTTTCAGTCCCATTGCAGCACCATTTGGGTGAATGGCCCATGCTAAAATGACATTTATATGCATGCCAGGATCCAAGTAGAGTATTATGCAAAGCATTATGTAGTAACCAGATAATCTATGTTATTCTGCTCACACCTCAGTGATTTTAATGGTATGGCTGATCAGCATGTGCCATTTCAATGTTCACAGCTGGTTTCCTTCTACTCTGAGTTAGGAAGAAAAAAAAAAGACAAATCTCTTTTCTGTTTTGGACCTTCTACAATTCAAAGCATTAAATATGCTCATTAGTTCTCAAAATATATGCACAATTTCTTAAAACTATTCTATCCTAGTCAGAAATGACAAAATGCCAATGTCTCACCATGAGGCAGGTTAGTGGTGTAACACTGCAATTTATCATAAAAACAGTTCCTCAACAAACAATTGTATGAAGGCTTTTTTTGGGGGGGGAAAAACCAAATATTAAAAGCACGGGTTTGACTGATAAGCCTTTGTAAAAATGAACAATCAGCCTGCTCACATATCAAGGCTGTGCTAAAAACAATCAAGCTGGATATTACACTTTGGCTTTTTTCAGCAACAAAAGTAAACTAAATATAAACTTCCAATCTGACGCTTTTAGATGTGTGTTTTCAGTAAACAAGTTGTCAGATTTGTGGTCCCAAGGGTTGCTTTTTTCTCAGAATATATTCAGAGCTGTGCCAATTTACTGAAACTTCAGTGCAGACGATAGTTTGTTAGGTGGAAGAATCACAATGTGATATTGATTCATTTTGAAAGGAAAACGTCAAAGCTAGTAGAGGAGAGCTGAGAGGTCAGAAGAACTGAAATGAGGAAGCATTTATCAAGGGGAGATTATTTGAATTGCATACGTGTGCACTGTTACACCCACAGTCTGGAACATATGTGTCTTGACTGAAATTGTTTCGAAAATGAATTCAAAGTCATTCATTCTAATAATGAGAGTGAACATTATTTTCATTAATTTTTCTCAACTCATCACGCTACCTTTTGAAAATACACCAATTAGCCTGTCTTTGAAATCAGAAGCTTTGCGTGTGTATGATTTACCTCCATTCATGGAGAAGATTATTAGAATGACCCATATTGACATATGCGGGCACAGAGATACAGATACAGCCCTGGCTCTTCCCAGGAAAATAAAGGGAATAAAAGAGCACAGAGATAATTCCCCTTCTCTCATCTGCTGCTGCCGTTGACATTAGCAGCCACTGCCTCTCAGGACAACTGGGAGACGGACTAAAATCAGAGCTTCCCATCACTGTAACCACACACAAGCTCCATCCCTCCCTGATGAATATAAGATTTATTTCTGTAATCGGACTGTCACCATTAATAAGCCTTGAAACAGCATATAGTGCATACTTTTGCCCCTCCCTTCCCCTATGTACATCCCTTTTCTGCCACATTGATAAAATGGATGCCTCAGTGCACCTATAGAGAGAACATAGAGATCTGATATAAGCAGTGCAGAAGACCAGCTCTGGCAGTAAGGACACCCTCTAAACTCCTATGCCGAAGCTGCAGAATCTATGTGGTCATTTTTCAGACTCCTTTCCAAATCGGTCATCCAGGACTTGTCAAATAGGATCACCACAGTGTATTTCAAACCATGTGGGACCATGTAGGGGGATCTGAGCTGGCCTGTAATGTGTTGACCTGGGTAAATGCAGTGTCTCTAACTGTGTGGACAGACAGCATGAAACACATTCATGTGTGCCTACTGAAGCGGTTAAGATAAGTCTCAGCATGCCAGAGTGAGAAATTTAAACTTGAGCGTTTACTCTCTTTGATGACTTTCTTCTGTCTGTGTGTCTGTGTGTCTGTGATTCTTTCTTCCTTTCTTCGTGTGGATAGTTGCCACGTTTTGGAGCACTTCACTCTATATCCCAGCGTATCTTTTTACATTGTACTAGCATGTTGAGTGACCAGTCAGAGTTGTCGTGTTTCCACTGGTGCCGGTTTTGCGCTCCCTCTTTCTGGAGAACAGGCACACCCATCAGGAACCATTAGTCTTCACACTGACAGGCCAGGCATCCACTGAAAAACTCTCCCTGGCAGAGCTTTCTGATTGCCTCAGACGTTTGTCGGATATTTTTACTAACAGGCTGAGACGGCATGCCATTTGTGCAGGGCATTTACTGCTGGCAATACTCCTGATTCAGATTCTCTAAAAGTAAAGCTAGACACGCAAGATTCGAATGGTTTCTTCCTTTCTTTTTTCTGCGACCGGACAAAAAAATGAGGAAAAGGGAGGTCAGATGGGCAACAGGTATAAAAAAAACATCTGATGAAATTAACTTCCTGTTTGCAGACGGATGCAGCCCTCATGTATGATGCCGTGCATGTGGTGGCAGTGGCAGTGCAGCAGTCACAGCAAATCACCGTCAGCTCTCTGCAGTGTAACCGCCACAAGCCATGGCGCTTTGGAGGCCGTTTCATCAACCTTATCAAAGAGGTATACAAGGCCATCAACGTGCATCTTATCCTGATCTCTCACCTGTAGAATCTTGCACACAGGCATCTCAAAGATGTTTAACACTTCATCTTCATGCTCCCAGAAATCTCGATGAAAATGGAAACCAAATAACCACTGTATTGTCCATAGTAGCATTTATTTTTGGATGCATTATTCTCTACCCCCATGTATTCTCTGTTCTTTCTCCTCCTGTGTTTATATCAAAGCCTCTGCGTGTCTCCTTAACTCCAGTTAGGGTCAGCCATTTGCTTTGTTCTACAGAGCTCTTTCATTCTGTGGATGGTATCATTGCAGGTAATTTTCAGAATGAGCCATTGTTGTAGCCAGTGCTTCCTCCCCCTCCTGAGCCTGCTATCACTCTCCGCGCCCGTCTGTTCCTCCAATAGCTTTGATGTGAAACTTCAAGCCCAATGAACCACATGCATAATGAACTCTTACCTGTCAAACCTGCTTCTGTTATCGCTGCTCTGTTGTTTCTTGTTATGCTGCTGATGTAGAGAGTAAAGGGAAAGACAGACATACTCAATAACTGGGGAAAGTTATTCTTAGTTTATAGAGATTGAAGAGATGTTATTGATAATGCTTCAAGCTTGAGTGTAGTAGTCTCATATTGTCCACTTTTCTGTCAAGGCTCACTGGGATGGATTGACTGGACGTGTTCTCTTCAATAAGAGCAATGGACTGAGGACAGATTTTGATTTGGATGTCATCAGTTTAAAGGAGGAAGGGCTGGAAAAGGTGTGTCACTCATTGGTGTAGGTGATTCTCTGTGACTTCCAAGCCTCTGACTTAAAAAAAAAAAAGAAGTTTGTTTGATGCTTTGAAGTGTTTCTCATCCTCTCTGTAGTCACGACAGTTGATATCAACCTGACACTGAATTGTTTCAACAGATTGGAACATGGGATCCACCCAGCGGTCTTAATATGACAGAGAGTCACAAAAGCAAGACATCCAACATCACCGACTGTCTGGCTAACAAATCCCTGCGTGTATCGACTATACTGGTAGACACAGCTAAATAACAGCCGGGAAAAAAACACTACACACTCACATTCAGAAAATCATGAAAGATGTGGAATTAACCAGAAAAACTGCGGAACTTCCACTCTGCTCGTTTTCTTTGTGCAGGAGGAGCCGTATGTGATGTTTAAGAAGTCTGACAAGCCTCTGTATGGGAACGACCGCTTTGAGGGATACTGTATTGACCTGCTGAGAGAGCTCTCTGGCATTCTGGGCTTCCGCTACGAGGTGCGATTGGTGGAAGATGGGAAGTACGGGGCGCTGGATGAGAGCACAGGCCAGTGGAACGGCATGGTGCGGGAGCTCATGGACCATGTGAGTCAACAATCACCACAAACAGACGAATGTGCAGAAGTCGTACTGTGTTTATTTTCATAGAAGCACAAGCACAAACACCTGCTATATTGCTTTTTGCCTGAGACCGGAGCTTCATGTAAAAAGAAAAAAAATACTGAAATGTGATTTCATTTCTTCAAGCAAGCTGTGTCTTGAAAATAAGATCGAAATGTTGTAAAGGGTTTTACTTTTAAATCTAGCTGTATTTCTTACATAAAACATTTCCCAAGTATGTACTGAACAAGTGGATTGAACATCAAGTGCTGTGGAAATAGATTCCAACTCAGAAATGACTGGTCATGGAAACAGTACAGTTACCAGTTCTCTACAAAAAAGAAATATCCATCATTCGTCAATTTTCTAGCTGTTTATATGAATTCAGGGGGGCTGGAGCCTTTCCCAGCTGTCATTGGATGAAATGATGGTCTCTGCCAAGAACGCAAGCTTCTAATATTTGTTTCATTAAAGTCTCTATTTCCGTGGACCTTTTGATTTGTTTCCAGGATTTTGATTATGTTGATTTAATTATAGTGTGTTTTCCATCATTTGAGGTCTGATTGCAACTTTGCGGACGTCATCTCCAAGCAGCTTCCTCTTCAGCTGTCCTGGCCAGAGAATCAGACAGACCTTCAATTACTGTCTTTGAACCAAATCTTAACAGCAGTAGTTATGGATGGAAACAAGCATAAATCTGCATTTGATTTAGTCATTTTTTCATCAGCTTAGATGTATAAGTACAAGATTTATGGGGACATTTAATTACATTTTGCAGACATGTTTGTGTAAGTTAGGTATCAAGCCAGCAACAGTCCAATAGGTGGAAAAAGGAACTCTACCTTGTGAGCTATATAATGGATTTGTTACTCGTTTCATGCTGGATCCAGTTGAGCTCAATATGGGAAAATGTTTTACCAGTTTTAAACCACAGAAAATCTTCATAAAATAAGAAAATTCTGTGTTTTTTACCTTTACTGAGCAGTAGCCACAGGATAAAGAAATAAGTGCCACCTACAAATAGTCTCAAATGAAAGAAAAATTAAAGAAACTTTGGAAGATGAAGACATTTCTTGGAAGGATTATGCTAAAATTCTTCAGAGCAAGTGGTTTACAGCACAGAGGGGTAATGTTGTGTTCAGCGGGGACATGGGGTTAATTTGTCACAGATTAATCTAATCCCAAGATTGTTGCCTCGGTGACTCACCTTTGGCACCACATAAGAAGGATCAGGAATATAACCTGCAATTTGCACAAAATCTCAGCCTTTTACCTCACACTCTAGCTGAAGTAATGGCACTTGCAATTTTCTCTCTTATGTCATTTCTCTTCCCTCTGTACATATTGACAGGACCAGGTGTTGGGAGAAAGTCAATGTTAATTAATTCTTTCCCTTTTTTTTGTGGACTCAAATACCCATTGGCACTTGATGTTACTTTATATTTCATTTCAGAAAGCAGACCTTGCAGTTGCTCCTCTTGCCATTACCTACGTTAGGGAGAAGGTCATCGACTTCTCAAAGCCCTTCATGACCCTGGGGATAAGTATCCTGTACCGGAAGCCCAACGGCACCAATCCTGGGGTCTTCTCCTTCCTCAACCCCCTGTCACCCGATATCTGGATGTATATTCTGCTGGCTTGCTTGGGTGTCAGTTGTGTGCTGTTTGTCATAGCCAGGTAACATGTCAACCCTCCCATCTTTTCCTTCCCAGAAATTTCCCTCAGCCCTACCTACTTCCCTACTTTCATTAATAAACAGGAGTTGTTCCTCTTGTGGCACACAAGAGGCCTCTTTAACCATAATTAATGCAAGATACATGTTCAATTTACATCAGTGTTTTTACTTTTTTTACATGGTAAAACATTTAATTTAATTCCAGGACCTAAAAAAATAACACTGCTATTTTTTACAGCTGACAATTTAATAGGGATATTGTGTTTGCGTAAACACCGTCAGCTGTGAAACAAGTTGGCGGTTACTTTTATTCATTGGCTGTAAGAAATTCAAAAGGAACAGTGAAAACAGTGTACAGTTCTTACATTTTGATTAACTTATCCTCCTCCTCAAACCCTTGGTGCATGACTGATGAAGTGCGATGTGTGTTAACCCCAGGGATCCTCTTCGCCTTTCTTCCTAAGAGGTTTGGGTTTAATGCACATTTCAGCTAATGTTACTGGCAAAAATGATCACACAAAAAGAAAGCAGCAACTGTCACCTAAGTTAGTTCAGAATATGCAAATTGTGCCCATAACCCTTGTTTCCACGGTTGGTCAGGGTAAGTAATTAGCATGAAATTAAAGTCATATTCTTCTGGTTCTGATGAAAATTACCTCAGTGTTCTTATTAGATCATAGCATTCTCGTGTCCAAAGAGCCTTTTTATTTTTTGTATAATTTTTTTTCAATAAAGCTGGCTGTCATTATGTGGTCAAAAGTACAAAAATATGCAGTTAAGCTTAAGTACAGTGTTCTCTTCAGTTCGCTGAGCTGGTTCTCTCATAATTGTCTTATTGATTGCTCAGACAACAATTGATTACTCAATCCTCCAGATGCAGGGTATATTATTTTTTTTAATCCCCTGCAAATAGAGTGAGTGAAGTGAGCTTATGAAGTCCAGTTTTGCACAATAAAACACTAAACACCTCAGCCACACCAGGGATCCACGTCTGTGAGTGGCTTCCCACACACGTACACACATTCTTTTCTTAACGACATAAGCTATCTCATTTCAAGCTCCAGAGAAATACATTTCACTCGGCGGTTTCTTGTTCCTGCTCTGTTTGTGGCTGAATTGATTTTTCTCTTTATTAACGAAAGAAAAGCCATTCTCTCAAATCACAAAACATTTCCAGGGAAGAGAATGCCCACCTGTCTAGAAAAAATGGATTATTCAAATTGTATTATTAAATACTTAAATGACTTTTAGCCCGATGAGGCTTGGTACCACAAGCATCAGACAGCTGGAATTTTTAATAGGGAGGAGAGGAAGTGAAGAACACGTATTTTAGAATTCAGTGTGCAGGTCGACGTGTCACCTGAACTCATCATGAGGAGGTGACCTTACATCTGCATTTCCCCGTCCCCGTCTTCCTGGTGATCGGCGTGCGTAACTAGGTTTACAGGAATTCAGGCCATCTGCAGGCAAAGGTCATACAGAGGAGGCATCAGGTCTCACGCATACAAAATACAAATGTAAACCTTGAGAGCAACAAACACAATCCAATCAAGTGTGCATTGTATAGATCTACACCCACAGCCTTGCCGCTTGCAAACATCCCATGTCAGTCCCAATCTGCCTCAGGCTGCAGCTGCACATTGTAAGTAATGACTATGAACAACCACGGAAAACGTTTGACTTTGAGACAGATTTGATTGAGCCAATGCAAATGCACAGTTGCTACTACAGAAAGATAGACACACAAACACAGAGGGAGCTAAAAAGGAGTTTTGCAGAAACATTCATGCACCAGCAACTTGACGTACCAACACACACACACACAAAAACACGCATTCCACAGAGCTCCACAAGGCCACAGTGCCATTACTGTTGCCTGTGGTTCCAAGGAGACAGAGCTCATTGACATTCCAGTAAATCAGGCATCCTGATGCTGTTGACAGGAAGAATTACTGCGCGCCATCACCGCCTCGTCCACAGAGATGATTCTCCAGGGGACAGCTTTGCAAATAGCTGCAAAGGAAGAGCAACATAAAAAAAAATGTTGCCACATTCCCAATGTGTATAAAATGATCATTAATTAGGCTACAGCAACATCCAAAGAAGATCAAACGAGATGTATATTTTTTTAGTCATGCAGCAGTCATGCAATACATAGATTTTCATTTCATCATACTGTGGATTTCAGGTTACAAAGTTAAGGGATTTGTGAATCATAATCGTAGCTCCTAAGACCACATGGTCTGTAAGGTCAAATTTAAAAGGTGAGATTAAAGATAGATACACAAATAGACAAATGAACAATTTGAGAAAGACAATAAAATGGAACGAATACTATAATTAGACGGATTTGGGTGGTCATACTGGGCAAATCTAAAATGGTTTGCAGTGATTGTTTCCTCCAGGGGACACGTGGACCCAAGTTATACCTGCAAAATGCAACCACAGCATCAAGCATTCTAGCCTGCTCCTTTCCCGTGGCAAAGGATGACTCATCGGGAAAAATCACTCTTTTTTCACATCTCCGTAGACCACTACCTGTGGTTTTTGCACGTCTAAAGTCTTATATGTGCATTCGTCTGTGTAATGAGAAGTTTATGCACTGCAACTTTACTATAATATCCTCACTGTGTAATTTTGGATGGCTGTTCTTGCTGACACAGTCTGATCACGTCCTGCATTGACATTCTCAGTCAGCCAAGAAGCAGTTGCTGCTATGCTATGCTTTGCTTTACATATCACACCGATAGAAGAGTATCACAGTCTTCAAACGTGTTGGGCAGAGTTTCTCACCATATTCACCGTTCTCCCATAGTTATCAACACGGTCCTTATTTCTGTTTCTCTAGTTATTGATCTCCTTTTCTCTGCAACCTTGTATATGTTACACACAAGTTAGAAATTAATATCATAATGCAAATAAGCATCCTCACCTGTGTCTGCATCTCTAATAGCTATAGCTGACAAATAGACATCATAATACTACACCATCTAAGCCCATAAGGCTCTGCCCACAGGCTTATTAGCATGCCCTAAATCCGGAGGAAAGCTCCTCAATCGTATTACCTGAACGGCTCCTCAACTCTGTATAAGCAATGTTCCCTTCAGTACATCAACCACTTCAGCACAAACTCAATCAATTCCTGATGCTTAACACTAACCCAATCACCCTCCACTAATGCCATGCCACTTTTGCTTAAGATAATAAATGAGAAATGCCCACAACTGACCCAAAGACCCCGACAATCATCCAAAGCAGGCAGCAGATGGTTGGGAGCAAAAAGGGGAGGCTCATAAGTGATGCAAAGCCCAAATGGTAAAATTAGCTTTAGGTTGTTGGGAACGAACAGGATGAGGGAAGCAAAATTATGTACGAAGGAATGGTGAGGAAAGAAGAAAATCTAAGGAAGAGAGATGGTTGTTGGGCAGCCATAAGAAATAGAGATATAAAAAAAATATATTAGGATGTTTCATCTGCAGATTAATGTTGATTGCAGCAGAAGGATGGAATATTTCAAATCTGCAGAGTGCAATGAAATAGGCTTGAAATATCATCACGCACTGCGAATATCATCACCAGGGACAGTATTATTCCAGTCTATTGATCTGTTCTTACATAAAACTAATGGCATTTGAATATGCCAATAAGTTGATTTCAGTGAAATGTTAATGATTTGTTTTAGTTTCTGCCGGAGCCCTGTTTACAAGACCACAAAGCCAGAATATATTCGTTTTTTTTAATGCTGTTCTTTCAAAGCTTCCTGTACTGACTTATTAATCTTTCTGCTCTTTCCTCTATAGGTTTAGCCCTTATGAGTGGTATAACCCGCATCCATGCAACCCAGACTCGGATGTAGTGGAAAACAATTTCACGCTGCTCAATAGTTTCTGGTTTGGAGTTGGGGCTCTCATGCAGCAAGGTAGTTGCCTCAGCCTGTGGCTGCATTTGCTCTGTGGAGCTGGAGTTCTCTGTACCCCACTGTCCCTGAGGGCTACATTATTTTTCTTTTGTTTCTATTTTTTTTTCAAAGCAAACCAATGGCAACAGAAATAGACCTTTGACGGTCCACAGTCTGGAGTAGATCTTATCTGTAAATAAGAAAAATGTTAATGAGAGAAGGAGATTTATTGCCCGTATTCGAGTGGGGCCGTCCTCAGGATAAAAAAAGAACACAGATTGTGTAGAAACGTGTTCTTTTTATGACAACCCCTAGCCCTATGGGTGCTATTTTCACTTTTCTAATTTATTTGCTATCACAATTGCTGGAGGTCACATATTCAACAAATGTATGAAGGTATGCCTATTTGAACAGCAGCCAGCAAACCCTTTAGTATATTTGGAGGTTGTGGATGAGTAATACTAAAAAGGTAGAGCAAAAAATACAAAACTGATGTATGTCATTCTAAGATTTATAATCATCATCAGTTCCTGCCATGTATGTGCAGTGTCAACTGACACTTTTTTTGTTTTGATCATTGCGCATCAAGATTTGATTGCACAAAATATCATGCTTTAGCATAATCACACAATTGGTATTTAGATGTCTGCAAATTCTGGTGGAATATCTGAGATTAATAACACAAAGGAAGGACGCTGCAGCTGCAAAACCAGTTGTGACAACGAATCCTCCGTCTGCTCATTTTTACATTATCAACCGTCCAAAGTGATGTGTCTGATATTTTGTTAAAACATAGAACAACATGATCGCAAACTAGATTGCATTTTTTTCAACTTCGTTTTTATGTCTCCATTGTAAACTAAATGGATAGATATACACCACTTAGTTAATTTCTATTTAGTTTATTTTGCATTATAAAGTCTCAAACTAAGCTCAGATGGTAATCTTGATTTCCAAACGTATCGATTGGTTCACACAACGTGGTGTCTTTTTCTCTTGCCATTGGTCCATCAGCACCATGAGATCTGTGGGGTATGGAGTCAGGATGTGAGGTTACCTTGGGTACATGACTCTCTGGCCCAACCAGTCTGAAATATCACACTGTTCCGAACTATCAGGACAGACTCAGTACAGAACAGACAGTTTGATTTTAGATAATTGATTTATTCTTAGATTGTAAAAAGCCTTTTTCCACGTTTTTTCTCAGTACCTTATAAAGACTCACTTTGATAGAGACAGGATCACTTACTTTATTTGATATTATCTTGTTTTCAGAATTCCTTCAAGCGATCTATTCTTGTAGCCAGGGTCACATCTGCCTGAGCTGAAATCTTGGAGGGGTTCTTAAAACAAGTTTAAGATGTTTTCATGGATGATGATGAAATTCTTTACATTTTACAGAGTGAAATGTTTACTCTGTACACTACTAACTCCCTTACCTCAGGCTCAGAGCTTATGCCCAAGGCCCTGTCGACTCGAATAGTGGGAGGCATCTGGTGGTTCTTCACCCTCATCATCATTTCCTCATATACAGCCAACCTGGCTGCCTTCCTCACAGTAGAGAGGATGGAGTCACCAATAGACTCTGCTGATGACTTGGCTAAACAGACTAAAATCCCATATGGAGTGGTGGAAGATGGTGCAACAATGACATTCTTCAAGGTAACTTTTAAAGGAGTCGTCATTCTCATTCATCAAAGTTTTATCCCTTAATTAGAAGCTTGCCTGATGAGGAGTCAGGGTCAGGGTCAGGGTTAGGGTTGGCATCGGATTGTTGGAGTAGAAATGATAAGCAACAAATAATTAAACATAAGTCTAGGATTATAAACCTAAAATGCCTGCTAAGGTAAATAATGTTAATGAGATGACGTGAGACGAATGAAGGGCTGTTCGGGAATGCATTAAATAAACAGGGATTGATACAAAAAATCATGATTTCTGTCAATTAGGATTTTGTTATCCAACATTCTGAAATATTCACACTTGCTGAATATTTCTTGAATGATAAACTGGCTTCATAAAAAGTCTCATAAAAATGTATTTTATCACCATTTACGGCATATTCTTCCACCCAGTTATTCAACCCTTATTCTCTGGTTACCTGCAGAAGACAAAAATCTCCACATATGACAAGATGTGGGAGTTTATGAACAGCAGGAGGCAGTCTGTAATGGTCAAGAACGTCGAAGAGGGCATCCAGCGTGTTTTGACTTCTGACTATGCCTTCCTCATGGAGTCTACTACGATTGAGTTTGTCACCCAGCGCAATTGCAACCTCACACAGATCGGAGGCCTCATCGACTCTAAAGCCTACGGAGTGGGAACGCCTATGGGTAAATCATCTAAAAACCTTCTTCTTGATATTATTTGATGTATAATTTATCCATTTATGCTATGATAAAAGGACAGTGTATGGAGGACAGATAAGCTCTAACAGTATACAGGTTTATTTTTTATCGATGGCGTCATGGTAATAAAGGCTTGAGTGTGAAGGATTTAGCTTAATGAAAAGCAAATGGCTTGAAAGGTTGGATTTATAGACAAGGTTAAAGTGTGCCTGCGGCTCACAGCCTTGACTGGTGTGTTGTTTTTCTTTGTAACCATAATGATTTTTCTGGCAGAGTAAAGAAAAAAAGCTGGGTGCTATAATGGTGTGTTTTATTCTACTTTGTGGTCACATGAGACAAGACTGCGAGCGTAGGGCAGCGTTGCTCCAAAAGCAACTTGAAAGTCAAGGCACCATCATTCTCTTTGACTTACTTGAGACTCCATGTTGGTTTTGATCATTAAATCACAACTAAAAATCACTTCAGAGGGAATAAAGCGAGCACTTGCACCTGTTCTCAGCAGCTTATTTGACCCAGCGCTCGTCGTAACAACCATTATCTTGCCAGGATGATTCACAGAGGGTAAATATATCAAAATATTATGTATTACCGTCACGGCTTAATAAAGCTGTGGCTAAGCACGCAGGTTAAAGCTTTATGAAATCATTCATAAAGCATTCTGAGCACACGGGCTGGAGACAGCTAATGATTCCAAGACCACTGTCACAGAGGTTAAAGTGCTCAGGACGAAGCCTCAGAGATCACCGCTGCCAGCTGTGCGGTATCTATCATCAATGATACGATGGCTATCAAAATGTGGGGGATTAATTCCGGCCGTCCACATCTGCGCGCAGCTCCTGCTGATGAGAGCCAGGCAGTTATGAATCTTCGGGGAGGTAATGATTGCGGCGGTTATAACAAAGCTGAGGTGATGCGGTGAAATATGGTCCCACTGTAACTCCGCCGGTGCAGAGGTAGTTACAGTTGTGCCCTTGAAATGGACATATAAGACCTTAGACTGCAAATCGATTATTTTTTATTCATGTAGCAACAGAGTGTATCAAGTGAATGGCAAAATCTATATCAAATCACTTTCATTTAGCGATTAGGCATTTAGTATTTAAATGCATAAAACTTAATAATTAAAACGTCCAATAGCAAAGCGATTACTGCCCACTAACACATTTTTGTCTCAAATCCTGAGATTCAGTGCTCAACAGGGAAATTACAGCCTGCTGAATGCTTCCTCAGTGATAGAAGGGATATCAAGGTTTTCATCTCTTTACTGGTTCACAGTGATTTGTATTTATGCCAGAAGTCAGTATGAAAGTGAAGATTATTTTATATTCTCATGATGGGGGTTTCATCCTCAGGGTCTAGTCCCAAACCCTGTGAAGACCTCAGACTTTGTGTCAACCTTTAACATTTAACTTTTGGCCTGCTGAATAACGTTCCGACACTTATTCCTTACAAGGCTCTGGCAGCATTAAGCCCAGCGAGCCATGTGATAAGTCCTAACCCTATAGTATTTGTCAGCTTCCAAACGTCTTTTTTTTCCCTAAACACAAATGCATTTCATCTACAGTTATCTCCTTAAACTGTGAGCACATTAATACTAGAAGCTAGGCAGTGTAAGAATGATGGATGTTCTTTGTTGCTGAATATCTGTCAGGTAGTTGTATATGCACAGTGTGTCAAGCAGAGCATTTTCCCATTTGCCCGGGCCCCGCTCTCCATATCCTCCTCTCTAAGGACCCATCCTATTAGCATTTATCCAAGGCCGGCTTTGTTAGGCCGTCATTAATCATTTGAAATATGAGGGGCACCAGAATCAGGGGACTCAGATACTTGATAGATCTCTCATCTTTAAATGAGGAGGGCACATGCTCCTCACACGCACAGTTTCTATTTGTATACAGGCATGTGTTTTCAGTGCTGAACATATATCTGCGGCAGATGTATGCACGTACATCTCTGTTTATCCACTGACACAGCATAAGTAGATCACAAAAGACTGTGTTTCTCAGAATGAAATAAATAAAAGAGACAGGTAAAAGAGCTTCTTTAGATTTTTGCAGCTAAAAAGAAATCTGTGACTCTGTGTAATCTTAAGTTTTGTTGTAACATTCCTTTTGTCAGTGTAAACACACAGAGGCTTGAAGATGAAAGGATGATGGATGGTGATAGATAAATGATAGATGAGACTGTGAACAAATCAGCAAAATACGGTGACAGGCAAACGTGTATGGGAGCAGCAAACAAAGTGATTCTATTTTGAACCAGATTCAGTTCATCTTCCCATGAGGAGGAGCACAAAATGTTCTCATGTTTTTAGAATAATTTCTATTAGATTTGTACCACAAAAGATTCCCATGTTTGTTTCACATCTTCTAAGTCCCTTCTCAGTAAACAGTAGAGAGAAGTGCCTGAAATGGAAATGCACAACCAGGCTTCATTATGGATGCATCTGTAATCTCATAAATGCATTAACAAGCTTTTAAAGCACTGAATATATGAAGCATGAGAGCTCACAGTAAGTGTTAATCAGTTTTGGCCTGGTTGAGGCGGAGTGAGAGCACTGTGCCTCGCTCAGGCCGTGTGTTGTGTCACACACACCGCGGAGGGGGAAAAGAACACGACCCCACTCGGCTACTCTGCAACGATTATTCCAGCTTTGATCATGCCAGCACCCACTGAGCCTTAATGCCCTGTCACTAATTCTGGCGCTTCCCCACTTTCTGTGGATTTGGGTTCTATTACTCAACATCAACATGCATAAAAACACAGTGATAGAGAAACTCTATCTGCAACCCCAGCATATAATCCCAAATATGTATGCAACCGTGCAATGCTCACCCCACTGGGCCTCTCTGTTTTTAGACACAATTTGTGTTGTTTGAGAGCGGGTGCAAACGGCAGCTAATTCGTCAAAATCATGAGCAGCTCTGCTACACAAAGCCAAGTCATTGTTGCCAACTCCCTGCGCATTATAATTCGCGCACTGCAGAGCGGAGTGAGAATTTTGGAATCACTTTGCGAAAATAAGGATTAGCGGGATTTGAAGGACTTACAAAAAAAAAAACTCCCTCTAAGAAGCCGACAATAACATGACAGGTTATGTGATCACATGAAAGTCTCGGTGTGTTTCATCCTCCCACGTACAATCTTTTCCAGATCTGGCTATTTTCCATCTCCACCAGTGCGTTGTGGTTTTGTGTCCACAGGCTCTCCGTACAGAGACAAGATCACAATAGCTATTCTGCAGCTGCAAGAGGAAGGAAAGCTGCACATGATGAAGGAGAAGTGGTGGAGAGGTAACGGTTGTCCTGAGGAGGAGAGCAAAGAGGCCAGTGCTCTGGGAGTACAGAACATCGGGGGAATCTTCATCGTGCTGGCTGCGGGACTGGTGCTGTCTGTGTTTGTCGCCGTAGGGGAGGTCCTTTACAAGTCGAAACAAAATGCCCAACTGGAAAAGGTAGAGCAGCCCCTTGTGGAGGCATTTTTTTTTAATTAAAGTTTACATTGTGTGAAACTGGTCTCAGACCAAAGATGGAAAATGACTGTGATGTCAGTGGCCATTTCTCAAAATGTCCGGTCAGGAGCTGCTTCTCTGTAACCATTTTTGAGCATTTACAGCGAACCACCAAATATGATCATGATCATTATTAATATTTCAATATTTTGTCCCTCAAGATGCAGACATGATTCATACACTGAGCCTTTCCTCCGCCCTCTGATAACATTTCTAGAGAGAGTTTAAATATATTTCACACTGTTGTGTTCTATTTTAGTAAATATGGCTCATCACACAGAATTGAATGTGTATTTTAGTACAAATTTAATATGTGCAGAAGTAGTCAGATAATTGTTAAAGTCCCTTTGATAGTGAATTTTAATTATTTGCATCTAGAGAATTAGCAAAGTGCATCAGTGTGCTCTTTAATGCAATGGTAATTAGGTCCCTGCATTTTTCTTCATTAACAGACTGCATATATTTCAGAGTACATCTTAGCTATCATTACTCAAGAGCTGCAGGAACGGGTCACAATATTCAGATGATTTGCAAATGCCCTGATTTCTTGGCTGCCGAGGTACTAGTAATTTGCATACAGACAACAAGCCTCGCCTTTACTCCTTGCCAGCCTCCTCCAACATCTCCAGTTTCTTACCCTCCTCCTCATTGTTGTTTCACAATTTCTCCTGTCTCTCCCTTCTTACTTCCTTAATCCCACTCTACTTCTTTAATCACTCCTCTTTTAGAGTGTAAGACATCTCATTCAAAAAGCAGGGAAATGTATATGACAAAGAAGACAAACAAAAATACCTGGAGCCTGAGCCCTCTGCAGATATCCATCTCACACACACACCCACACAGACTGACAAACAGAAAAATAAAAGCTTCATACATAATGCTGTCCTATTATTTTACATCTTTCCCCTCCTACACCCTTTGTATTTGAATTTGCATAATCGGTATAGAAAAGTAGAGGAATTGGACTTGGCAAAGTTGATGCAAAGGCTTATTGACATTTTTTAGGATTGTACATCACATAAATAATGCAAGAACAACAGAGTCTCACATCACTCAAGTTGTGTAACACTCTGGTGTTTAAAACAGGTTACCAATATTTTTGGGTTTAATCTGATTAAGTGGATATTTGGTCCTCCAGGCACTTCATTATGTGTGTTTTCAGTGTTTTAATTTAAAATGTTCTCTCTCAGGATTTAGTTCTTGGCAGGGTGTGAAAAGCTATGAAACAACAGTTAGACCTCTAGGTGGCAGAGAGGTGGATAAGGAAAATCTAGAACACAGCTTTATAAATAAATGTCTGTTTTTCCAACTAAAAGATCTGTCTGCACGGTTCCAAATTACTTTCAGTTGTCATATAATCTTATTCCCAAAAATGATCTCAAATAGATATCTCTAAGTTGTCTTTTCAAAGCGAATTTTGACAGTGCAAATCCTCATTATGGTACCATCCTATAGTGCAATATTGATCAAGAGGTTTACATAGTTTACCTAGTTTACACAGCTACAGAAAACATTTTCTGGACCAATAGAAATGCTAAACACCAAATTATTCAAGTATTATCCAAGTATAATTCTGTGGAGAGACTCTGTAGCAAACTGCAACATTGACATGCCAACACTGTTAACCACACCACAAAAAAAAAGGATGTGCTGTGTTACCCCCCAAAAAAAACTATTTTAAATTCTCTAATGCCCAACGAATCACAAATCAAGGAGTCCAACTTCAAAACACCAGATTAAAACAAAATACAACACATTTTTATAACAGAATACAAAACATTGTCAAAGCAGAATCAGCATGGAGCAGCATGAAGAAGATGTGAAACAACATGTCAAAGTTGTTACATGAGCCTTAGAGGTAGTTCACCTTCATTACCATACAGTTCACGCCACCATGTCCTTATCATTAAGACCATATTTCCATTCTTCTCCTCTTCAGCAGGGGGCAACTGAATAAACTTGAATAACAATCAGAGGGGACACAGTTGCACCACAATTAATCAAGAAACTCTGTGAGAGTCAAACGTATTGTTTGTTTTTCCCAATCAGCATCGCTTACCTGTGGAAAACAAAGCCAGGCCTGTGATTTACCAGACTTCAAATGAAAGAGACACTCATTTTCCCAAATCCTCACCCACTCCTCATATGTTGCATATTAAAGCTAAAAAGAACTACTGGGAGAGATGTAATTTTACTTAAAATGCTGTATATCAGATTCAGGCGGCGTTAAACACAAGGAAAGTAACATCTCCCCTTAACATTTTCAGCAGGTAACGGAGAATAGATGGAATAAACTGTCTCAGATAATCACTGGTTTAACAAATAACCCTGATTTGTGAACTGTTCAGCTAATAGTGATTCATTAGTGGTTAGCTTCATGATTTATTTATTTAATGTTAGTACTTCTCTAAAGCGGCCAATAATTAGCAACTAAGTGATAATACATGCTATTACAATGCTATTTTTCTTTGTTCAAAGAGATTAATTTAGTGTGCCACAACTTGTATCATCCTTGGTCTCCGTGCTGAAGCAATAACGTTGATTAGGAATGAAAGGAAGAAACAAAACTATTATTTATTAGATCTTTATATTTTTCTAGCAATTTGTTCTAAAGGCTAATCACACTGAAGGTAAACTGGACAAATAATGATTAAGTTCAATACTATGTGAACACTCTGTCCCTGTGCCTCGATGGCATTAAGAAATAAATCTAATTAATTAATATAAAACCAGACTTTTGAATGGGTGTCTGCAATGATGCTAAATTAGGTGTGTCAGTCAAAGGAGTCATAGTCCTGCATGTATACAGGCAATCAGCCTTTAATCAGCATAAATGGTCCACATTACATGGCCTAGCCTAGTTATAATTGTAACTCCACTTAACTGTCCTATGAACACACACTTTACATAGAATTAATCATACAGATAAAGTTATAATGAAAAACTTTGAAACTATTGCTATTACTCATATTAAGATTTGACATATTAAGTAGCTTGTTAGGTACACCACGAAAAAAAAAACACTACTTTTTGTCATCCTCTTTAAGTGGTGCCTCAAAGAGACGGAGAAAGTCAAACAGCGAGTGCATTGTTTCATGTATTGCCAATATTCAGTGTCACACAATCGATGATCATATTTAGCTTACAGGGATCGTATTGATTTGAATGGTGTGGCATTCTAAAGGGCACCAGCTAAAACTTTCTTCTCGGGCTTGCTTCCCCAGCGATCCTTCTGCAGTGCCATGATGGACGAGCTGCGCGTTTCTCTGAAGTGCCAGCGTCGCCTCAAACAAAAGCCTCAGCCGCCTGTCATCGTCAAGACAGAAGAGGTCATTAACATGCACACATTCAATGACAGGAGACTCCCAGGAAAGGAAACCATGGCATGAACGCTGACCAGAACCTCAACATATCCCTCATTAAAAACCACGGCGGGGATACAGAGGGTCAAATCAATGCTGACTTAACTACAGACAGAGGTTAGCAGTAAAAACAGGATTCCTTTTGAACCCACTTGCTTATATAGACAGATGTTTCCTGTGGAAATATAGATGACCTGAGCAGTGTCACCTCACTGCAAAATTCACCATTAGAAGGGAACTGGAAATGAAGAACTTTCTGGTTGTGGTTGATAAAAGGCTGTAAAGTGTAACCAGATGGACAAACAAACACAGAAAAAAAGTGTATACAGACACACACACACACTCGCGTTCTCATTTTACACAATTAACACGTGCAGAAAGGAATATTCTGTTGTGACAGTAACAAAAGTTGTAGTTTTTTCTGTTGATGTCAATGCCCTTTTGTCTTACCTCTGTGTGTGACCCAATCAGACCCTCCCTTCAGTGGATTGAGTTTCTCACCAGTAATTTGAACAAATACGTATCTTACACAAAAAAGGGAACAGTAGTTAATGCCATATGGTTTCTAATGAGCTGTTGTATAGAAGTGATATTTAGTTTGAAATCATCTATGCTGATCTTGTCAAATATCCATCATTTTCTTCTGTAATGCCTTTCTCGTGCCAAAGTTCTGCTATTGTAAAGAACTTTCTACCATGCCTATTATGTTCAAAGCCTCTACAAGCAATGTATTCTGTCAGAGTCACCGTTCATGTACCGTCCTCGCACACTGTCTGCAGTTTTAAATCCATATCAGTTGTTTAAAATGCAGGATTTCTACAAAAGTGTTTGTTTTTGTACAAGAACAAGAAGTTTTGTAGTACTTTGTATCACAGTAGCCCCTTCTGTGGACAAAACCATGTAGCAGATACCTACTCAGCCCTCAAAACTCTAGCAACGGGCTTCAGGCTCTGCCGTGTAGGGTTCATCTCAATCGGATACTGTCTTTCTTCTGTGAGTCTCATGGGCCAGCTGTACATACTGTCTGGGGACAATGTAGTGGAATTTGGTAGTCGAGAGCAACGGAATTGTAAATGAAGAAGTGCTCAAAGCCAGTAGAGCAGTGACTCACTCGGGGAAATGCATGCTGGGAAATGCAACTGTCAGCAGAGTCTTACTGACAACAAGTGCAGGTTGCTAACGGTCGCCAAGATGAGTCACCATGAAAGACATGGTAAAACATGCAAAGGAGGCTTGTGTGGCATATGAATATAAATTGTGTCATGTAGCATCGTTATACTAGAATGAGTTTTTGATTTTTTTTTCTTTAACTGATATCAAGTCCTAAAAGTCTTATTTTTCCAAACTAACAGAAAAATAGTTATATAGGTGTACATATATGTAGATATATATATATATCCACCCATTATCAAAACCACTTATTTGCAGGGGGACTGGAGCCTGTCCGAGTGGTCAAGAGGTGGGGTACACCCTGGATGGTCCGCCCGTCCATCACAGGGCCACACAGAGACAAACAACCACAAACACTCCTACACACTAAAGAGCAATTTGGAATGTCCAGTCAACATACAGATTTTTAGACGGAGAGAACCCATGCTGTCACAGCGAGAACATCCACAAATAAAGGTCCTGGTTCCCCCTGGGACTTGAACCCAGAAACCTCTGGCTGTGAGGCGACAGTGCTAACCAACACACCACCGTGCCACCCGAGTTATAGATAGATAGATAGATAGATAGATAGATAGATAGATAGATAGATAGATAGATAGATAGATAGATAGATAGATATCATTTTTGTGAATTATATCATACTAAACAGGCAAATTTGCATTCAAAACATATCCAATTATCACATTTTGCAATTAGATATTTTTCTAGAAGTTTGACAAATATTGCTTTTAGGACTCAATAACAAACTAAACTTACCTCAAAGGTGGCTCTTAATGATGAATAACCAATGAATGTACAAAGCAGTTCATCTGCAGAATATTTTATGTTGGAATAATTTGGAGCTTTGAGGTGTTCGTATGCTAAATAGAAATGTGGCACCTTTGCTTGAGAGCCAGGTCGTGCTTCACGCACGTTGCCTGAAGTGGGCTTGATCAGCGTCGATGATCGTTTGTGGGCCGAGCAAATCGTTTATCTGCTAATTGTCTCCAGATGTGTATTCTCCTCAACAAGCAACACAATCACATTTGGTCCTGTAACTCGTCTGTTCCTATCCATGTTGTTAAATGACAAGCATACTTGGTAGGCTACTACCCCCACTGCCCATGTCTTGATCCAGTTAATCATTCGAAGTGTTATTTCCGATGTTTAAAAGACAAAAAAACAACCACACACCGGCGAACGCTGGTGATGACATGTCTGCTACTCTTTAATGGTTCTATTTAATGACTCTATGAAAACTGATGGCGAAGACAGTCTCATTTAATTGTTGGTCTTCTACCAGTGTTGCTTGTCATTTTCCATATAGCTGAATTTAGTGGTGCAAGCTGAAGTGACTGAATACCTGAAAACATCCTTCAGAAATTAATCCAAAGGCTTGGCTGTCAAAAACAAATGTGAGCTCATGGAAACTGACACTGATGCAAGGTTTTACAAAAAAAAAAAAAAAAGAAAAGAACAAGAAAAAAAATGTCATTAAAAATGTCATAATTGTAGTTTTGCCTGATACTTGTTTTTCATATTTTGGTGAAACACTTTCAGACGACATGACATGTTTCTAGTTAAGCTTTGTCCATCATGTACAAACATGAAGATTTAGTCTCATAATATTAAAATAATGTTGAGTTCTTCAAATGTATTAAAACCAAAAGATGATGATTCATAACATCTAATTTTATGTTTTAGGTTGCTGCTAATCTATCAACCAGGCTTGTTATCTGACCTGGTCTTTTGGTTGTTTTAAAGTGGATTTACGCTCTTGATTGCGTACATTTCTGTTTCACCCCTACTTTGAAAAAAAATATATGCTCTTGAGACCCAGAACAATCTTACTGACCACACTTCACACGAAACGATCTCCAAGGCTGCACAACCAGAAAAAATGGCCCGGTGCTCTCTACACAGCCTTCTCTGGATTTCCATTATCCATTTTCAAGTGCTTTCCAGTTGTGGGTTGCAGCGAGGTTCTCCAGGAGTGGCCATGAAAAGCGCCTCCGCGTCCTCGGCTCATCTGCCACAACGCGAACGGCAGTCCTTTTCACCCTCCAAACTGACAGCTAAGGTCACAGCCCACATCAGTGATGCAGCCGGGACCGTTTAGTCTGTCACACTTATTTCCATCATATTAAGTCCTTTTCCTCCTTTTCCTAAGTGGTTATTGGAAAGGTATCCTTGAATAACATCTTGTTCATTAGCCAATTAATGCCAGAGATAGTGTTGTGGACAGAATAATGCTCTCTGAATGTGACTTTGGTCTGTCATACAGACATCAAAAGCTAACTGAGCTAGCCAAGAGAGATTTTGTCAAGAAGGATAGTTATTTCTCTTCGCATTTCCCCGGGATTTTAATAATTCACGATATCAGATTAAAATCATACAACTCCACTTTAATTTTTCCCTTTAAACGAGTAGCAGAACATGAATCTGTACAGTTGTTATATACAAGGGTGGAAAGTTAGAAAAGGGCTTTCTGACAGACGTTTACAATTTGCACAGAGGTGCCATTTTGAGAAAGTACCTTGATTTGTTGTTTATGTGAATATTTTTTTGCTATTCGAGTGGTAATTAAGCACAGCAGCAGTGCAAACATTTTTATTTAATTTGCCAAGTCAAGAGAGCAACAACAAACTGTTTCACAAAACATTCAATCAAATCATAGGATGTCAGTGTTGCTCACTCACGACTACTCTGGCCCTGACTTAAATATGTTTGTGCACATTACCTGGATTTGTTTTCACCCTTTATAATTCATAATCATAGCTGTTTTTTCATATTCCTTTTCTCTGATTGAATTCACATGTGGCTTATTCATGAGATGATGAAACTACAGCATGAACACCAGTGCACGGCATGGTGAATTTTGTTCACCGACAAGGAGTTCTGGAAGTGGTGGAGTGGTTTCTATGACAAAATCGGGTCTCTTTTTAATGTAGAGCTGCATCAAGGCCAGAAGGTAATAAGCATCCAATATTGATTTTCCGTCATGTCCCCTTAACTTAAAGATGTCTCCAGATTCTTGAAATTCTCTGATGACATTATGGGCAGTAGATGATGGAAAGTTCAGTCTTCGCAATTTCCCACTGATGAATAAAATTCTGAAGTGGCTCATGAATTTCCAGATATTTCTGTTACAATATGCAACTTTCAGGGAATCTTTATTATCTGCCATGTTACGGACCTATTTCAGTTTATTACCACTTGCTTTTTGCAGCATTTTGTTTTACTATCCCAACTTTTAGGAGCTGCTGTCATCAATCTAATCCTTTTATCGTCTATACTGCTTATCCCCAGCAGAGCATGGAGGAGGAGGTAGGGGTGACGGTGGTGGTTTATCTCTAGATTTATTAGCAGTCAGTAATGATAAGTTAACAACAAACCACTCACATAATATGCTGGCATGTGTATATTAGCATTTCTGGCATGGTACTTTTTTCTGCTGTCTGTAGACAGTAGTCCATTTAGACAAGAATGATTAGATTTTCAGGTTCAGAGACACTTTTGACCACGGAAGTGCGGAAATTAAAAAGATTCTGTCCTTTGCTGTTACATTAATTTACACTCTTCAAACTGTGTGGTTACTGACAATATCAGATTTGTTTCTTGTAGGGCCTTAAAAGGGGAAGGATCTCACACTGTTGTGTCTTTACAGGGGAAAAAAGACCATAGAGAGACAGAGAATTAGTTATGTATACAGAGGAAGTTGCCATGGTTACCATGGTTTCACACCGTATGTCTGCAAAGGAAGACCAGCTAGAGCTCTGATGCTAGAAGAGGGCAGAGAGCATGATGGGCAAGATACCGAGTACCAATTTGACAGGAATCAAGGGGAATAAGCGGTCACCTTGACCTACCCCACAAAA